TCTCTCTCTCTCTCTCTCTCTCTCTCTCTCTCTCTCCTATCTATCTATCTATCTGTGTTGTCTTTTTGTCGCCCAACCCTGCCCTTTTGGGATTGTTTGATGATGTCAATCGTCTTTGTGAAATATCGCATAGGCATATGTTAAACGAGTAGCAGTGGTCTTCTGCCTAACGAGTTTGGTATGCTTCGATTTGTGTGCACTGTGCAACAAGTTAACTTTTCGGATAGATCTGCTGTCAATACAACATGACAAGTTCGGATCGACATATTCGCATTCCAGCTTGGAGTATGGGGTGCATTTGAATGAATTGCTGGGAAATGCTGTGTCACAGTGGTAAATGTTTGTCACATTCCGCGCTTTCTTGCGCAGTTTCAGTGTTGAACGAGGATAACTTGATAGTTGCCCTTAGAATTCGTAGCACCTGACGGCATTTGCGCGTCATTAATTGGTGTGCTTGCTGAAGGCGCCTTGTAGTCTTTTGGTTGTTACTCGATTGGTCAGCTTTTGCACTAGGGCGTCTCTTCTTAACTGTGGTTTGAACAGTGCTTGTTTTTACGTAAGCATATGTGACATTCATTCCTAACCTCTATACATTAGTTTGTACTGCGGCTTTAGGCGAGTTTGGCAGTTCGGGAATCGGTTTCTGGCATCCTTTTCGTCCTTTCTCTGTTCATCCCATTTGCTCTCCATTTGCCCATTGTGATCAGTATGAGGAAATCGAACCTCTATGTTCTTGATCAGGAATTGGTTGGCTAGTGCAAATGGCAGTGATTCAAAAGATGTGTGTGCCTTCTGGCAATGGATTGATGGAAGCATAGAATGGTTCAGAAGACTGTTTTAGCCTCCATTGACTGTTGGATGTTTCAAAGACTAGGCTGCTGGCATTGCTGCTGTCAGGCCGCTGTGCAAGGAGCTTGTGCAGCAGCACACTGTATCAGTGTAAGGCAGGCCAGGTTGGTCATGGTACAGCATGAGGTTCTGCTATGGACAAGGTGCTATCCATTGGCCGTATTCCAGGGTGCAGGGATATCTGTTAGGAAGTCCCTTAGCCAGCGTGCCTTTTGGATGTAGGTTATGATCGGGTTATGATCTTCTCGACTATATCTTAAACCACAAGTACATCCGAGCCTCCTTTTTCTGAGGCGGATTTCCCCTGGAGGCCAAGCTTTTGCCGAAACGCCAGCGCAGCCCTCTTTCATTTCTCTTGGCGGGCGGTGGCCAACCATTTGATCTGGTCGAGCCTCTGAACTTTTCGGGATGACTGCTTTTTAATTCTCAAGTTTGCCTGGACATTGTCCTAGCAGTTTAAACTTCCATTCCGACGCATAGCTCACGGTTCCTTAGGGGCTTCCTCAGGTTGATGAGCTCCGTTTTCGTGGAAATGTAGCTTAGGATCGAGTTCTGATCATGTCCACTCTGTATCTTAAACCACCAGTACATCCGAGTCTCTTTTTCCTGAGGTGGATTTCCCCTGCGCACCAAGTTTTGCAGAAATGCCAGCGTCGTGGTCTGTCATTTCTTTTTGCTGGTGGTGCCAACCATTTTAGTCTGGTGGTCCAGACACTCCGAAAATTTTGGGACGACTCCTTTTCAATTCTCAAGTTTGCATGGGAGAGGCTAGGGATGACCTGATAACTTTTTTCAAGAGGGAGTTCGATATGCTCTCCTTTTGTGGGAAGGCGTGTGATTGAGACTCGTAACGTTTGACATTTAATGATCGATATCATGAGGACCGTTGATTCCATCATTGCCCTCGTCAATTTGAACCTGGATGCAAAGCTGGTCAGGTGCATGATAACTTCCTAAGCATGCAGGCATCCCGGCATTACCTGACCACACAACAAGTGGAATACATTTTTTTCCTTCTTTTCCTGAAAAAAGTTAATTGTACAATTCTACTCAAGGCTGGGAACCTTGGAATTCTACACAGTAAGTACTTGGGGGGCCCTTACCGAGCTTCAGCTTTTTTTCAGAAATCAGGTCAAGCGCCTCATCAAGGGGCACAACTACAGTCTTCTCCCGAGTATAACGTATGTCCATTGTCACTGCACCTAGACTGGAAGTTGCCCTGGATTTAGCCAGGATGCCTGTTTATCCCATTCGGGGCAAGACGATACCCGTTAATGACCAATCAGCAATGGCCTTCTGAATTACTCAATTGAAGAACCCCGAAGGAGCCTTAGTTGCCGAGACGGGTCTTCCACCACGCACTACAAGGGGTAAACTGTAAACCTGAAGTTCACTCCCTTCCCTACTTGACTTTTTTGTTTTTTGGGGGGGGGATTGAAACAGGTCCTTACGTCCTGGCTCCAAACCCATTTCGTGGAGTGTCAGTCTGCTCACATTTCCCCCGGCAAGTCATAAGAATACAACCTTCACATATGCACGTGTCCTTCCTTGAGGCCGAGGACCCTTCATCGGCATTGATTGCTCGGCGAGGTGGAGAATTGACTGTCAGCTTGCCTTTCGTTCTCGTACTCCTCTCAGACTCGATTAGAGAGTCTGCAAAACTTAACCTGATTGTATTGAGTATACCTTAGTGAGTTATAAACTCAGTTCTGCTTAGGTCTCGGCCCTAGCCCTCTCACTCGCAGAACCCCAAGGAAGCGTGAGTTGCCAAGGAGTGTTTCACACGACACACCGCTCAGGGTGCATCTCAACTTTGCTCCCTTCCTCATGTATACTGATCACAAACAAAGCTATTCCTACCGCCACCGATAGCAATCCCACTGCTCCAATAGTGAGGCAGTCAGTTGTCACCACAGCCACCACTTACATCTACTCAAGTCTAACCCCCGAACCTCTCAATCCAAGAACGCAAAGAGCCTGAGTTGCTGAGACGGGTCTTCCTCCAGGCTCTTCCACCAGGCTCCACCATGGTACAACTCAAGTTTGCTCTCTTGCCCATGTTTCCCTGACAACAAGGAATACAAGCTCACTTCTGTTCCGATCTTTACCCTAACGACCATGGGTACACCTCGAGTTTGCTCTCTTGCCCATGTTTCCCTTACAATACACAAATGGTTAACAGGTACCCCCACTTTTCACCCCTAGGGTAACCTTCACATCCATGAAAAGTGCAGTTTCTGTCTTACAATAACGAGTACAATGGGGCTACAACTTGACTTTGCTCTCTTGCCATCCCCCTGGCCATAATGAGCACAAGGTCATTTCTGTTCAGAGCTTGACCCCAATCTCCTCCAAGAATCCCAAACAAGCCTGAGTTGCAAAGAGAGATATACGACCACAGACTACATTGTATTCAACTCAAGTTTGCTCCACTCCTCGCTTATAGTGATCACAACCGACATCATTCCCGCCTTCAGCTGTAGCAGTCCGATTGGCTTCCGTACTGGCACTGGCGGTAGTTAGCATGCCCTCTCATACCGAGAGCGACAAGGACGCCTGAGTTGCCAAGGCTGGTTCGGACCATGCCAAAAAAAGAAGAAAAAAAAAAAGAAACATGCACCACATTCGTACGACTCAAGTTCGCTTTCCTCCCCTCTTAAACCACCACTACCTTTCAGAGTGGAAGGCTAAGTCGTAAATAGAACCTATTCTGCACTCCTCGGAGGCCGGTGGAGGCCGGGCGCCACCAGACCGAAATGGCTGGCGCCGCCAGCCAAACCAAAACAAAAAAGGTCACGGCGGCGCTTCGGCAAAAGCTTGGTGCACAGTTCTACTCCTCGGCAAAAAGAGGCTCGGAGGTAGTGGCGGCTGAAAGTAACCTCCATAGACTTGTATTAGATATGCTCAAAGCCTCGAAAGCTCAAACCCACAACCTGTATACCGTACCCTACCCTGGGGTATATGGTATATGGTGAATCGTCTCTGTCGTCAACTCTCCCGATCTTTATTTGTTTTCTAATCTTCCGTAATATACTCTTGCGACCGTGATGTTCATAGTTCAGCTGCCAACTGAGACCATATGGGTATATGCGTTGTGTTCAGAGTCACGTGTTTTGTGGAATGTCCTGTGCCGTTTCCGGGCTTTGGCATGCTTTGCCGCCCCAGGACTGCAAGCTGGTTGTTGACAGGCCTGTGCATGCGAAACCTGCGGTTACAGCTCTCCACCACTCCCACCAACAGGGAACAGTCGCTTTCCGGTGAGTCCGGAGTGGTCTGAGGGGTGCTGGGAACCGGCAGCCTTGAGAGATGCGGAAAAAAAAAGGCACAAACTTTGGCGATTTTTTGCGCTCAGAAGAACGCATAGAAAAATCTGGAAATTTGAGATCCTATGGATTAGGTCCTGATCTTCCCAGGAAAAAAAGTCAAAAAGAAGAGAATCAAATTCTTTTCAATCTTTTGACCGTGAAATAAAGTCTCCCCGATTTGGTGCATTTTTCATCTCTCCGCTGCCACTGGACCTTGAAAAAGTTATTTAACCTCAGTGATTTTTTTGCACTCAGATGATTGCATCAAAACATCTTAAAACTGGAGGCTCTGTAGATTCATCGTGATCTTTCCAGGAAAGATATTACCCAAAAAAAATAAAATTGTTTCGACCGTGAAATAAATCGTGGCTGGCAAATCAACGCAGTTCCCGTTTTTGTAGTCATGAACTTCGTGCGTCCAGTCTCCCAAGTTTCCGACGTTGGGGAGTGGGGCGGTGTATAATGCACATAGAATCATAGACCTAAAGTTTTCAGGATTTCAAGTCTGAAACCGTAAATATAAAACGACTTGGGGGAGAATAAATGTCCACTTCTTTTGAATGGGAGGTCAGCTCGATACACGTCATCCAGTGTCTGCAGTACGTTGATCGTAGAGAAAGGTGTTCGTAATTCCGTGTGGCATCTGACATTTGTCTCTGTACTTGCATGTCGGTTCTTGTTGTCATATAGGTGCATTCGAAAGCATCCCTCTGACATAGCTACAATTCCAGCATAGGAGCCCATCTGTCATCTTACCCTGCATAGAAGGCATGGCGTGGACCCTGTTGATCTAGTGGTTCCTCTTTTCTGCTTCTACATTCGGAGCATTTCAATGACTTGCGCTCATGTTCCATTGAGCTTGCTGTGCCTGTAGAATTGCATTCATGGTTATTTGAGTTTTTCATGGGATGCTTGGTTTTGAGGTTTACGGATTCAGGACAAGGAGGAGATGGAGGAGATGGAGGAGATGTGTGGAATGTCTTCGAGAGGAAGTAATGATGCAGTTTGTCCTATCTATCACTGTCTTTTTAAGATCATGGTGGTGCGTCGTTTGTCCTGGTGTTCTTTTTGTCTTCTGGTCCTTTGGATTTTGTCTGTCAGCGATGCATCTACTGTTCCGGGAAGCACATGTTTGCGGGAACTTCTTGATGTGCGGGATGCTTCACTCGGCCCTTGGGTGCCTGGAAGGTAGGTCCGTCCATCAGTAAATGTGTTTGCCCCCAATGCCAGGTTGGTTTTGTATGCAGTGATAATGTCTGCTGCCAACATCATGGCGCACTTCCCATGCTGTACACGCCATTTTCGGACGTGGAAGTGATTGAACGCCACTGTACTTCAACGTGTGTAGTAGCTTACCGTCCATTGATGACAAACTTCTTGACGTGCGGGATGCTTCACTCGGCCCTTGGGTGCCTGGAAGGTCGGTCCCTCTATCAGTATATGTTCTTGCCCCAAAAGTCAGGTCGGTGTTGTATGCAGTGATATGTTTGCTGCCAACTTCATGGTCCGCTTCCCATGTCATGCACGCCGTTTCCGGACACGGAAGTGACTGAATGCCAATGAACTTCAACATGTGTAGTAGCGTACCATCCATTGATGATGAACGTACCTTCTTTCACCTGAATACGACCTATGATCATTACTGCTGTATGTGGACTGAAAGATACCCCAAATATGGATATATGGCCTTAGTTACCTTACGTTGTATTCGGGTGAAGAAGGTAGGGCGAACACACAAGGGTACCAGAAGCTAGATGCCAAGACACGATGTCAGTTAATCAGGCTTGTCAAAATCTCTCTTAAACCACCAGTACACGACCCCAGCCTTGCAGAAAGATTCATCGCCACCAACTTCGAATTTTGGGGCCAGGCGGGGCCGGGAGCCGTAGAAAGAAGAAGTTGGCAGCCTCCGAAGTGGTACCGGTGTCAGCCTCAACCGTCGGCTGATGTATGGTGTACTGTTTGTTTAAGAGGTCCTTGGGTGGGGGATGGGAGGAACTGTGCTGGGGGATAGGAGGAACTGAGCTGAGACAGTCAGTTTTCTAAGTGGCCTTAGTGAGTGAAGTGCTAATGGGGTGCCAGTGCATGAGCATTTGTGTGAGTGAAATGCCGGCAAATGTGCGACAGCGGTGAAGTACTGCACTGCATCATCTGCTCCACACAAGCTAGAGGCCAAAACACGACGTCAGTTTATCAAGCTTGTCAAACCTGGAGGAACTGTGCTGGGGGATAGGAGGAACTGAGCTGAGGCAGTCAGTTTTCTAAGTGGCCTTAGTGAAGTGCTAATGGGTTGCCAGTGCTGAGCATTTGTGTGAGTAAAATGCCGGCAAATGTGCGACACCAGTGAAGTACTGCACTGCATCATCTGCTCCATGCAAGCTAGAGGCCAAAACACGACGTCAGTTTATCAGGCTTGTCAAACCTTTCTCCTAAGACATCCTTGGATGGGGGATGGGAGGGACTGTGCTGAGGCAGTCAACTTTCTAAGCGGCTAATGGGTTGCTAATGGGGTGCCAGCACATGAGCATTTGTGCGAGTAAAATGCTAACAAATTTGGGGCAGCAGTGAAGTACTGCACTGCACCATGTGCTCCACAAATGCAGGGTACTCGGGATGGAGAGCATTGTGATGTGCGATCATGCGACAGAGATCGGAGAGCCCTTTATCCCCATTTGAATTTCGAATATACAATGAACATTATTTTTCTTTCGGAAGGGAATTTTTATTTTTTCAAAATAGGAATGAATTTTAATATTTGCTCGAAGACGGATAGTGTCCCTTACGTATAGTACTCACTGATAACGGGTCTGGATACCGCAGCAATGATCCTGAACTGTGAATGCCACTTGCGCCTGCATGGTAGTGCTTGTTTGTTTGCTCATCCTCGGAGCCAAACTGTAGCAGCGAATTCTGTCACCGTTGTGAATGTAGTGGAGGAGTTTACCGAGTACACTGACCATCCTTCAGAAGAATGGTGGTGCAAGTAGGGAGAAATGTTCGCTTGGCTGATTGGTCTTGATGAATGCATGTGTGTGGAGCTGATTCCGGACGGATTTGCCGGCAATTTTGGTTGTGATTCTCCAGGGATAGTCTTGAAGATGAGCTCAGAGCCTTTGAGGGTGGCTCGGATGCCCTCCTTCCGTGCATTTGGGAGCACGACACACCATTCTTCCCACAGGTGTGTATGTGTGCATTGGCCATGGTGTTAACTGTTCTTTGTTTCTGCAGTCTCATGCTCTTATGTCCACTCCTGCTGGACGGACGTCTGTAGCCCTTACTCTCTTTTATTTTTCCTGAACAGGTCCTTATGGACCATAAGGACCTGGTTCCTTGTTCATTCTGGCGAGCTTCAGTCTGGTTCCTTCCTTTTTTTTTTTTTTTTTTTTTTTTCCGAAATTCTTTTGAAAGGGGTATCCCCTGAACTTATTGTATCCATCTTATTCCACCAGGACCCGAGCTCATGACCTGTTTATCAACAGCTACATGTGTGTACCATTCAGCCACGCAAGCTGGCTAGTCTAGTTCCTTTCAATCGACAGGATGACAAAAAACATTCCGTAAATTACCTGATCAGGGGTTCCTTCCATCCAGGCCGACGGACCCCTGACCAGCTTCAATGGCTCTCGGAGGATGAGGTTCGACTGTCAGTTTGCCACAGCTCTGGATTTGTGGGTTGCAACATGTGTGGTTGGAGTAAGACATCTCCCGGCATTCGCACATGTCGTATTTGTTATTGCAACCGACACTGGGCATGGAGCAATCCAGGTTGAGCACGTTGATGTTGGGGTCGTCTTGTCATGCGGTTGACTCTGTGGACTTGAACTGAGTTTTTTGCATACTAATCAATGCGGTTCAGGTTTCTTTTAGAGAAGTTGTCTGGTGCTTTCTGTTTGTGAGGATGAATCTTGAGCTTTGCTGTAAGGGTAAAGGAAAAATGGTTTGCATTTGTATCCGCTGTGTAACAGCGAAAAAGGGCGCCCTTCTGATGTGTACAAGTCGACTACAAGTTCGAAAGATGCCATTAGCTGCAAGCAAGGAAAGATGCAATGAGCCGGGGAAGAAATCTGACGTTCGGATGGTACGAGAGAGTAGGGCTGGTCCCGTGTCCCGGTCTGGCGGAGCCGTAAATACTATAGAGGCTTTGGAGCAGGGGTAATGTGGTAGAATAAGATTTCAAAGGTTCAATAAGATTTCAAAGGTTCAATTAGGGGAAAGATGCAATTAGAGGAAATGATGCAATTGCCAATTAGAGGAAACGATGCAATTAGGGGAAACAATGCATGGAGGAGAAGAGAGATTCTGAAGTGGAACTAATGATTGAATCAATCCAAAGTACTCCCGACACAAGAATTGTGACCATGCTTTCACTCCCCTCAGCAGTCGTGCTCTTTTTCGTGCAGTGGGACGTTTGAGGAAAAGGGCAAAGCCTATGAGAACGCAAAATTTTGGAAGTTGTTGATGACCTTTTTTCATTTCTTCGTGGCAGGCTCTTCCGCAGCTCATCTCATTGGTGAATTCAATGCTGCTCTGTTTTGGCATCGTCTTTGCAGCTCAGGTCTGGATATCTCTCCGCCTTCGGCCTCCTTCCCTTAGTACCTCCTACCTTCTCTCCCCTCCGGCTTATGTCCCAACAACAGCTGGCTGTCGGCGTTTCCTCGTTCCTTGTCTGTATGATTCAGTGAATTTTATTTTTGCTATTTCTTTGTCGCTGTTGGCCTTTGCTTCCCCTGTGTCATGTTGTGTCAAAGCCACTGAGTAATCATTCATGTCTAAATGTGTGCATCCACGACCCGTCAGGATCTAAAGTTTCCGTCCTTCGGGACATTTGTTAAAATTGGAACGATACAGAGAAGATTAACATCGCCCCTGCGGAAGGTGCAATCAGACTCACTTTCATTCACACTTTTCATACATGTAAACAGTAGCGCAGCAAACTGGCGACATGCGCGCACTCAAAACTCAGAGATATGGCATCCAGATACGAGTTCACTTTCAACTGGCTATGGCGACTCAGCGCCCAAACAACTCACTGTTCACATACACCGGATCACCCTGGATATCCCACACGCGTCACTCTGAACACTCACACATACACACACACACTTCACACTAACTCTAGCTATGGCGGCTATGGCCGCAACTACCCTATCACTATGCTACGCTCCTCTCTCGCCCACTTCAGCTCCGGGCTCTCTGCAGACCTCCTTGCACAAGTCGCTGT